AAAAGAAGGCCATTGGTGCGCTGAACGTTTCCTTGAACGTCCAGACGCACCCTCACTTCATCCAAACAGAAAATGCCAGCCATTGAGGGCCTCGTAAATCTTAACTGAAGAGGCGAGATTCAAGTTTTGAGGTCTGTTGACCACCGATAAATGTCACGGATATTGCTGTCCGGGAATAAATGGAAGTCCAATAGCTTAAAAAAAAAAGAATTTGGTTAGTCTGTGCCATTGACAGTTCTTGGGATTAAATGAAAGGTATTGTAGTGCAGTAACGAACCTCCAACTTGAAGCGTCGCTCGTGCAATGAGGATGAGATACTCGACAAACCCGTAACCTCTATTCTAGGCATGTTTAAAATAACTATACATCTGAAATTGAACATCACGAAGTGAAGCGTACCTTTCTGGTGGTTGGTACTTGTACTCCAGATTTGGATAGACATGGCCAAAATCTGGGCACGGCTTAGGTCCGTGCCGTGACCCGGCCCATCCTAAAAAAAAGAAAAAATTCAAAAACCATACATTTTTTCCGTGCTGGCACTGACCCGGCCCGCCGGGTCAAGGTCGAAAAAATACAGACACGGGATCGGCCCGGTTGCAATCCGAGCCGGGCCTGAACCCTCAACGGGTTTGACCGGGTCCGAGCCGTGTCGACGGGCCGGTTGACCCGTGGCCATGTCTAGATTAGGATAGCAACAGCGAAGATATCCGAGTAAAGTATGTGGGATACTCCACTTGTAGGTGTGAACTTGAGACCAAGGGAACCAGAGAGGGACTGGTGCTCCCCAAACATTTGGATCCACGACATTGTGCACTAGGAAGTCCCCTCGGTCTGGGAGTGGGGTAGGTACCCAGCCAGGGTTACCATCGCCCTTCCTAGTGTCATAGGTCCTTAAGTATTCTAGAACAAGCTCAGAATCCCCGGGTATGACGACTTGTATAGTAGCAAGAAGAGAACTCAACTAACCAACCCAAAACCAAAACTATATACAAAACTAACAACCAAACCCATTAAGATTCTGCTGCAAAACAGAATAGAAAAGCCAAAATCAATTTTATACTTGTTAGCTCGGTTCGGTATTGTCTAATGAGCGTTCGATATCGCTTTATCTCGGTTCGATATCGTATCGCTTTATCTCGGAAATCCTTTGCTTTGCTTGCATAATTCAACTCAAGAAAGCTCGACCCATTTCTCATAAACAAAATCATTTGTCGCCCGATAATTCGAAACTCCTGATCGCTAAACGAGAAGGGCTTAAAGATCATGTATCACGTGCATCACACGTGAAATTTGCTTATATTTAAAATGTAATGATTAAAGTTATGTGATGTAAAAAGAAAAGATGAAGTGATGAGTAATTAAAAATATGTAAGTAGATGAAGAGCGAATTAAAGTTAATATGATGTGTAAAAACGATTAATTAATAATATTTAATTGTATTGATAATATTAAAACGAGTTAAGTTAAATAAAGTCATGTCGGATTGTGAGTTTAAATGTATAAAAGAAAAAAGTTATCTGAGTCAGTAAAACCATCTTATTATTCATTGAAAAGTTTAGTTGGTTCTAACAATGAATATTAATGCAATAGAACTTTAAAAACGCGACACAACATAAACACATCATAAAAACACAAAATTAATACTATGTTTTAGTCAAAATTAACAAGTTTTACCAATCCTCATGGATGTGTATGCCTCTCAACTCTGCCACCTTGCCCGAAAATCCAGGGACGTTACATTTCGATCATCTATCACAAATTCGATATAAGGTACAACTCATCCTCGACAAGAACTTCGAAACCCTACCCAAAAATCCAAATTGAGCGAAATCTAATCGCCTCGCCCTCGCCCTCGCC